TCACCCAAATTCGCCAGAATCGGACAAGTTTATGTGCGATATATCAGGCTAAGACGGTTACGAGGAGGTCGGTTAACAGGACTGCGAAGTAATGTGCCTGAAGCACGAAAGAATTTTCTGAGTTTATCTGCTATTCTTCAAGTGAAACGGGTGAGACGTAGTAAGAGCCGAAGTAAGCACTAGAACCGGGGAACATCATAATGAAAATGCCAACAGAAAAATTAAAAAATTAAAAACAGTGAACGGGTCGGGATACCGAAGCGACATCTGTGACCGTGGTCAATTACTGAATGGAAACTGTATTCCGAAGTGAGATGGAAGGATGATAATAAACACAACCACAGACCGTTCTCAATCTAGGCCTCAAGAAAGGGGAAGGTACTCACATCTGGTGAACGTGGAACGTCCAAGAATGCTCTCCTCAGAGCAATCACATACATGTTCACCAACACAGACCACCAGTCGTACGAGATGTTAAATCGATCCACGTGCGACGACTGAATGTTGGCTGAAGAAGCTGCTCCCGAAGGGACTGAAGTGCGTTTAGATTGTTCTTTGGATTTGTTTTGTTGGTGGGGGAGCTTGCCTCCTTTTGGCTGTAATGGTCCCTTACCAACTGACGACTTGTCACTTCTTTTCGAAGAGAACACGCGACGAATACAACGGACAGCAAGGTACAGTAAGTCAAGCCAATGACGGAGTGAATCTGGTGTTGGCGGCGTACTGGTGATCTGGTGGAGAGGACAGAAGCAAACGAAATAGTCGAAACCAGGCAACCAGAAAGCAACATAGGTTTCATACCATCATCATCATCGACAGCATAACATCAGTGTTCGACACCGATGCTTCACTGCCGTAATAGGTTTCATAAGAAATCATCGACGGCTAGTAAAAAAAAAACAACTGTCCCTTCAAGTGACTGGTCTTAGGGAATTCAGTTTCTCGTATACAGCGGCTAGCTACCTAGTACAAACTTCATTAAATACCGAATTCTTGAAAAGCCCTGTGGCTCACACATAAATGTCGTTCATATACAGGTTTCACATGAATTTTTCTGGGTCCTGAGGATATATATATATATATATATATATATCCTCAGGACCCAGAAAAATTCATGTGAAACCTGTATATGAACGACATTTATGTGTGAGCCACAGGGCTTTTCAAGAATTCGGTATTTAATGAAGTTTGTACTAGGTAGCTAGCCGCTGTATACGAGAAACTGAATTCCCTAAGACCAGTCACTTGAAGGGACAGTTGGTTTTTTACTAGCCGTCGATGATTTCTTATGAAACCTATTACGGCAGTGAAGCATCGGTGTCGAACACTGATGTTATGCTGTCGATGATGATGATGGTATGAAACCTATGTTGCTTTCTGGTTGCCTGGTTTCGACTATTTCGTTTGCTTCTGTCCTCTCCACCAGATCACCAGTACGCCGCCAACACCAGATTCACTCCGTCATTGGCTTGACTTACTGTACCTTGCTGTCCGTTGTATTCGTCGCGTGTTCTCTTCGAAAAGAAGTGACAAGTCGTCAGTTGGTAAGGGACCATTACAGCCAAAAGGAGGCAAGCTCCCCCACCAACAAAACAAATCCAAAGAACAATCTAAACGCACTTCAGTCCCTTCGGGAGCAGCTTCTTCAGCCAACATTCAGTCGTCGCACGTGGATCGATTTAACATCTCGTACGACTGGTGGTCTGTGTTGGTGAACATGTATGTGATTGCTCTGAGGAGAGCATTCTTGGACGTTCCACGTTCACCAGATGTGAGTACCTTCCCCTTTCTTGAGGCCTAGATTGAGAACGGTCTGTGGTTGTGTTTATTATCATCCTTCCATCTCACTTCGGAATACAGTTTCCATTCAGTAATTGACCACGGTCACAGATGTCGCTTCGGTATCCCGACCCGTTCACTGTTTTTAATTTTTTAATTTTTCTGTTGGCATTTTCATTATGATGTTCCCCGGTTCTAGTGCTTACTTCGGCTCTTACTACGTCTCACCCGTTTCACTTGAAGAATAGCAGATAAACTCAGAAAATTCTTTCGTGCTTCAGGCACATTACTTCGCAGTCCTGTTAACCGACCTCCTCGTAACCGTCTTAGCCTGATATATCGCACATAAACTTGTCCGATTCTGGCGAATTTGGGTGATAGCCGTGCTGTATCATATTTTCAATTGTCATCGCTGTGTTGCATCCTTCTAGATATATTAATGACATATTTTGGAAACTGATTCTTATTTATTCTTCGTATCCTAAACTTCCCAATCTTATCCATCACGACCGCTGCTTTCGACTTGGCCCACAGTTCCCTCGGGTATTGGCTCGTGGCATGAGTATGATTCGCAGCCCGCCTGCTGCAACTTCAAACCTGGATGGAAAGTCGCAATTACTCACAAGCACCAATGAATTCCAATTGTACAAACTGGCAGCAGCAGCGACAGAACAGAATATACAGGGGATTTGGACAGATACGCTACGGTCCATGCCGCCAGATAGTGATCCGATACTCCCATTGAAAACATTGATTTGGGAACATGATACGACAGCGCGGCCAGCAAACGAACAGCCTAGTGAGAATCGGACAGACGATAAATTTTCCCTAACATCCGTTTGCCTTGCACGGGCTATCGACTCATTGCTTAGGCACTTCTCTGCTGTCCGAAGTTGGAATGCCTCAAATGCAGTGGTACAAATCCAGCTTTGCTCCAGTCTCCTCTGCACCTGCAACGAATACATTGCATCTTGCGTTGGTGAAATGGATTCGATTGAAGTAAGTGATGTTGTGTTCGCTGTGCAACAGTACGTATTTGTCTTTTATCCAACAATAAAAAATTGTGGATGCATTCTTGGAAACTACCGTTTTTTCTGCTCCGCGCATCTTAGTCTGAAATTTCATTTCAAACCGGCCTCTGGTGCGTGGCTAAGTTCCTATTATTTACAATATTAGCAAGCGAGACCGGTAGCTACGGCCAGCGTAACCTTGATATTTGGTCTAGGTTGTGACTAGACTGAGCTGCCAAGCAAACCCTGTAGCTTACCATCGACACGCGTCAAGTCGTTGTCTCTCGTGCAGTTCAAACTCTCTCTGGTCTCTGCTGGTTCGTTCGTCCTCTCACAGAAGTAGCGTCTCGGCCCACAATTCTACTCTTACACAGTTTGAATTTCATGCACCAAATATATATATATATATATATATTTATACGAACACATGATTGTACCTTTTAAATCTAGCCAGAGGACCGTGCTGTATCATATTTTCAATTGTCATCGCTGTGTTGCATCCTTCTAGATATATTAATGACATATTTTGGAAACTGATTCTTATTTATTCTTCGTATCCTAAACTTCCCAATCTTATCCATCACGACCGCTGCTTTCGACTTGGCCCACAGTTCCCTCGGGTATTGGCTCGTGGCATGAGTATGATTCGCAGCCCGCCTGCTGCAACTTCAAACCTGGATGGAAAGTCGCAATTACTCACAAGCACCAATGAATTCCAATTGTACAAACTGGCAGCAGCAGCGACAGAACAGAATATACAGGGGATTTGGACAGATACGCTACGGTCCATGCCGCCAGATAGTGATCCGATACTCCCATTGAAAACATTGATTTGGGAACATGATACGACAGCGCGGCCAGCAAACGAACAGCCTAGTGAGAATCGGACAGACGATAAATTTTCCCTAACATCCGTTTGCCTTGCACGGGCTATCGACTCATTGCTTAGGCACTTCTCTGCTGTCCGAAGTTGGAATGCCTCAAATGCAGTGGTACAAATCCAGCTTTGCTCCAGTCTCCTCTGCACCTGCAACGAATACATTGCATCTTGCGTTGGTGAAATGGATTCGATTGAAGTAAGTGATGTTGTGTTCGCTGTGCAACAGTACGTATTTGTCTTTTATCCAACAATAAAAAATTGTGGATGCATTCTTGGAAACTACCGTTTTTTCTGCTCCGCGCATCTTAGTCTGAAATTTCATTTCAAACCGGCCTCTGGTGCGTGGCTAAGTTCCTATTATTTACAATATTAGCAAGCGAGACCGGTAGCTACGGCCAGCGTAACCTTGATATTTGGTCTAGGTTGTGACTAGACTGAGCTGCCAAGCAAACCCTGTAGCTTACCATCGACACGCGTCAAGTCGTTGTCTCTCGTGCAGTTCAAACTCTCTCTGGTCTCTGCTGGTTCGTTCGTCCTCTCACAGAAGTAGCGTCTCGGCCCACAATTCTACTCTTACACAGTTTGAATTTCATGCACCAAATATATATATATATATATATATTTATACGAACACATGATTGTACCTTTTAAATCTGGCCAGAGGAAGTCAAAACTTACCCCCCACTCCGTTAGAGCGAACCTACTAGACTACAGAATTTTCAACGCTGGGTGTTTGTAACTCTTTCTCTTAATTTGGTGGAAACACCAATTCAGCGGTATTGAGTTATCCCTCTTGTTTTACTAGTAATTAACGCACATGTGTCACCTTGGCAAAATGCCAACATGGGCCCCTCGTTTTCTGAGGTAATGAGTATGGAAGGGTCTTCAGTTGGTTATTCTTTTGCTATCATTTTCTCTTATGGATAAAACCAATAAGTAGTTTGGGTCAGATAGAGACCATTCAGTTTAGTTTTTCAACCTTGAAACGTTTGTTTTATTTGTGTTCGTGTCTCCGCAGTATTCTGCCGCCAATGAGAAATAAGGAGACCGTTGATAAAGGAAATAGTGATGTCTATAATAAAGAACAAGTTAACACTAAAAAATATGCCAATATATTGAGTCTCCAACATTTGATGATCCAAGATCCTGGTATCGCAACTGGCATGTACCGGTGTTTTTTCTAACGCTTTTCTTACAGACCACCCATCCTCAATCATCCTGTGCTTACACAGTCACGACATCTTCCAGAAATAAGGTCGAGGCTTGTAACCGATTACTTATAGGTAGATCAGTGGAGCTTCTGAACAATCTGTCTACCCTATTATCTCCTTGGCTGCACAGTTGTACTCACCGGTGCTATCGGCATGCATTTTGTTGGGGAATAACAGAATGGACTGGCAGTGGACTAGCGTTCATACTATTTCTCGTGGATGTTTCCAGTTGTTTCTACTCTACACTACTGTGTCATTACTCGAGGCGTAATGTGGTGTTTTTTGCTCATAATGCTGACAATGCTCACGTATTTGCAGACTGGTCATTCAGGTTTATTGACTTGGATGTGCCGTACACTTACACATGTTGCTCCAGAAAATTCAGGGGTTAAGGCTTGAACTTGCTAACCAGAAGGTTCATGGTTCGAACCGAACCTCGGCATCTCGACTGCTCCTATCTAGGCTTGGGCAACTTGCAGATGTCTTAGTCCTCGTGCTACTTTCGGATGGCTTGGCGGAAATGCACCGAATGGGTGTTACAGCTGAACGATTATTATTATTGTTATTAATCTGTGTCGCTATAGTACTCGTTCTCAGGTGTTAGTTTCTTTCACAACACATCCAAAATCTTCCTTATATTGACTAATTCGGACTTATTTTGATGGGACAATCTGTGTAACATCATTGTTACAGCGAATAAGTTATTGCTAGACTTATTCCCCCATTTTATTTATTCACCTCTAATGTTCTCTCTCGATTTCAGCACATGTGTACTGAGTACATCAGTATTCTTAATACGGTCATGAAGCAGGTGATGCGTCGCCTGCCAGACGATCTCAGCGTCTCGGACTCCGCACGTCTCACTTCAAGTGCAGCTTCCAGCACTTCTTTGCCCAAAAATATGGTGCTACAAATGCTTGACTTCCGTTTGAACCAGATGAACATCGCTGTTCAGATGCATCGCAACTCTTCAGCTCTGCAAAGCAATAACCGCTCCTCGCAGGCCCCTGCTTGGTCTACTATTGTCGGACAAGCCAGAGCCGCCCTGAATTGGCACGCGAAATATATGGTTTTGCCCGATCCATCAGACATATCGGTTGCACCGGAAGTAGTAATGGACCTGAATATGTTTCTAAAATTGGTCAATCGTTTGGTCGCTCTAGAGTCTGTCAATCTCAGTAAGCGCGTACCGTTTTGGGGCACCTTATATGTCAATTCTAATTAAGGTACCAGGTTAAAAGAAGGGGTTCCGAGCTCACTGGGTCTTGGTGTGGAGAAAAGTGCATTGGTATCCCGTTGTTATCATCAGCGTACTGTCTCCTCACGTAGTCGGCTTAAACAGTAGTGCTCTATGCAGCCTTATTTCTTCAAAATGTGATTGTCAAACTCCGAATGAAGTCAATCTCCATGTTTTAAAATATCAGAAAAGATGTTTATGCTTACTCCTTATTTGCTCCCTATTTTAGGCGTACTTTCCCTTACCGGCGTGATGACCATTCTGAAAGATTTGTCCTTGACCGAGCCAGTGGTTGCTGTCCTAAATCACCGATGGAAGTCCGATCCAGTATTCACAGAACACAAAGAAGCCTTGGAAAGATCGTTGCAATGTTTGCTGCATAATCTTCTAATATTCTGTCGCTATGTTGTCAACAAACAGCAGTCTGCAATACCAAACAAAACAGAATGTAAATCTGGCGGACGCAGAAAAGCAGCCAAACACAGAGGTTCCGATTCCCATCCGGCACTTTCTGCCGAAATTGACTTGGCACTTTGTATTACTCAGACACCGGAAGCACTTCAGCGACTTCGGTTGGATAGCTTCGATCAATTACTCTCTGGACTCAAAGAAGAGGGCTTGGACGATTTTGTCGTACTATGCCCACTTCTATCAGAGAAACTAAAACGATTGTCTACCTATTTCACTCAACGCTGAAGTGCTATTTCTTACATTTCGACGAGTTCTGTATATATACTACCTCTGTCTTCAGATTATTTCATATTTTCCGACCGCAATGAGAGACTCCTTTGTGTTCTTATGTCCCCGGGTTTACATGTAGAGCATGAATCTAACAGGCGTGGACGATCGTTCTGTTTCCCAGAAATCCGATAAACAGTGGAAACACGGACATTTGTAGTCGCCTTGTTGGACGTGTAGTCTATCCTGCTAGTGTTAATGTCTAACCTCGAAGGCATCACTGAGGCCTTCTGTGCACAAATACTTTCATTAAAACCAACCGCCTTCTGGACGCTTGATTGCGTATTGACCTCAAAAGACTGAAAATATGCGACACTATTTGTAAGAAAGCGATTTATCCGCAGCGTTCTCGACTAGGTTACTCTCACTTTCCGGTGACATCAGCCCTTGAGTATCTAGGCTATTGGATGTTGTTTCTTTGTTCATACAATCATTTACCCATAGGACAGCGAAGTCGTTTTCAAACGCAAATGTCATCGTCTTTTAACTGAACCGTTCACATACAATAACAGGTTCCAAAGCGTCCGTGACGCTACCTGACTGGCAGGCCAATGGATCGACACAACCAGGATGGTTACTAGGTTTTTTTAGTTATCAGGCAACCCAGTCACACTGCTCAAGTGTGAATTCGGACGCGCTCGCCTCGCACCTCAGATGTTTGAACCCTAGCACGGTCAAGGGTAGCACTGCTGATGTGCTTTAACAAGAGAAAAATTCGAGTCCAGTGCTTCCGCCCTTTGGTGTGAACCCACCAAAATGATTGCGCCAGGACAGTACGATGGCTGCTCAAGCGAGAATGATGTGAACATTAATTCTGCAAATCCCGAAACCACCTACGGCTACTGTTTTCAATCTTGATTTATCAAAATCCAGGACATCTGCGGCTTGTCAGTCATTCACCTAATTCTCATTTGGCCTGCACATATAATTGGATTCTTCTGAAACCTCACTGGACACGTGAAATACCAATGCATCGATTGCCCAATGGTGGCAACCGAAATGAATGGTCCCGTTTGTGTTCGACGACGTATCAACGTCTGAATCTCCTTCCATACCAACTGAGTAAGGTGACAGAAACCTCGCTGCTAATAACGCCAGTTACGTGATTGTGACATTTTTAAGACCAACTTTCCTAAAACTGAGCTGCTGGACAGAATGGGGCTATCATTCTGCTGGCGAAAAGGTCTGACTTAACCTGGATGATGTAAACCTCAGGAAATAACTTTTGCTCTGCGGAAACGGTTATATCCCTCGCCATCCATCGGTTGGCAGTGACCGACGGCTTTATTTGGCTGGTCGAACCGAACAGGATAACTGCTAAGTGCGTAACGTCCGTTGCCTAACCGAGCACCGAAGTGCAGAAAATCAGTGATCACTGGATCTTTCTGTTCAGTTACTTATGCCGCTTTAAAGATTTGACCTAATTCATTTGAACTGTGTCACGAGCCCAGTAGATCTCTAGGCGCCACGCCTTGAAATCAATGTTCCGTAAGGTTGACGAAGTCTGTGAAGTGTTGGATGTGTATTTCCTGAGCTATAAGTATACACGCTGGCCAAAAAAAACAACGAATACAACGAGGGTTCGATGAACGTGTGGGCAGGTCCGATGGAAAAGACTAAAAGACGAGCAGTGCCCGTAAAATAGAGGGTGGAACACACTACTCACAAGGTATCTGACAAACTCTTCGACGGCTCAATCCAGACTTCACTTTCTTGGACTAAATCAGGTAGGTGCAGTGTCAGAGTTCCCGTCAACATTCTTGAAAGATAGGAATTGCATGCTTGAAAGATAATCCTATCTAAATACTTATTAAAACACCTGACGTCAACCAAATACGCCGTTGTGAAAAAACGGGGGAATAAAGTGCGGTAAGATTGACGCCTATCGATACAGAAGTATGTATTATATGTAAATTTGGAGCTCGTTCGGTTACCAAAGGTTTCACAGTCAAGGATTCAAGATAGATTTCCTAACAACAGCCTATGGTGAAAAATCACTTTTATTATTTTAAACTAGTATGTTGCATTTGCGATCAGGGTAGCTTCTCATACAGTGTTTCCTTCGGGAACATAGATAGTGGCAATAACACGTTGGAATTTAGTCAGGCGTTGCCCCCAAAACTAAAAAGGCGAAGCAAATACTGTTATGGGCGTAATAAACTACTTACAAAGTTGCTGAGAAGTCTTCGACAGCCCACGACCGCTTTCTCCCTTCTTAGGACTCATCATGTAGGCACGGTCCCTGAGTTTTCGTCAACCTTATGTTTTACTTCAACACAAATTACACGAAATTAGCTAAATATGCTGATCTGCGAACAAATTTGGTTTCGTGGGAGACCTGGATCCCACAACATAAACGACAGATTCAGCTGGGTTCCAGGTGAGTCTTCCGCAAAACTCAAATTGTTTGCAGATGAGCGTATTTCGCCAGCGTTTGATACTCTTCACAGCCTTTCGTCAAGTACCTTTTTATGTGGATATGCCTGTCCCCATTTCGAAGGTCCGTTGACGGCATTGTGTCTGTTCTTGTGCCCACAGTAACGTATCTGTAACACTGGAGTGCAATCATTTGTCTCGTTCACAGGAACGTTTGTAATCCATGATGGTATTTTCGTTGAGTAAGCCGTCGTTTTATCAATCTAAGTTGGTGTTAATGATAGACACAACTGAATCCATGCTGAATCACTTCCTTGTGGTGTTTCCCAACCGAACCATCCGATCTTCCACGGTTTTCAACAGCTTTTTCTCAAGCAGCGTGCCAAATGACGCGGCATCTGTGCAACAGATTCAACTGAAGAACACTATTAAAGAGAGCTTCAGCTGGAATTATTTTGCGTCTCCATGTGGGGGCATCTTTATCTGCAAATGAGCGTATATCGTTAAATGTTTAAAATTTGGAGCTCAACTAGAACACGAGGCTGATGGAACCTCGAGAACTCGGGACAATCAGGAACACTTACTGTGAGAATTCCGAAAACAGTTTGTTTTTATTATCACCAGAACAACCGTAGATGAGTCCGGAAAGGTTTACTTGGGTGCTAGATCTCCGCGATCATGACGGGAGACATAAGTATCCTCTGCGGCTCACCTTGTTTCGTTTGGTTTTCAAATTGACGCAGGAATTCTAGAACTTCTAGTGGAGAAACTCTGCTTGGGTTTGCGAAACACAGGAGCCCAGAAAACTTATGGACATGCTCATTCCTAAGGAGTAATGCATAACTGGATGCGATCATTGAATAACCTTCGTTGTAGCATAATTGGGCATGCATCTATGCATAGGACAGTCGGATTTACGACACAACCCCAAGGTTAAACAGTCATGCCTCATACAACTGGCTCAGTTGGTTACGTCTTACTAAAATACTTCCCTAGGTGGCTCTTATTTATTCTTGTGGTTGTACCATCTACCACCACATCGTGTGAGTGATGATAGCATCTCCTCACTACCCTTGCTCCCATCTACTCTCTGAAATGTTCGCGGCAACTGGTGGGCGTTTTTGTATCGGTGGTCTCTTTGCCCCAGTCTTCTTTTACCTAGGTTTGTGGTGATAACAGTGTGGTCGACAGTAAAGGATTCCCTCTCGTGGACTGTAGAAACGCATTCAGCAACCTTACAAGTAATCTGTTGCGTCTATACGATTTATTGCGGTTTCTCGAATATCGTATTAATTAAAGCACGCGGTGGCCTTATGCACCATATTTGGCTGAAGAAAAACATCGTAAACGAGGGATTCAGCTGGGTTTTAGGTGAGTCTTTTGAGTAAACCGAATTAGCACGCAAATGAGCGTATTCATCGATTTCTCCGTCTACTTCACGTGCACTGCTGTAGAAAATTTTTTGTGCAGGATTACATCCGATCACAGCACTCGGTAGGTTGCGCACTCCGATAACACAATAGAGGAGTGTTCTACCACCATCGTGCTAGGTGTTGCTGACTCTACTTTGCCACTTGCCTGCCATTAATACGGACTATGGTACTACAATCCCCGAAGCTCCATTTCTGACTGAGCTAGTGAGGTACTTCCCTGGTAAACTGCTGTCCGTTATCCGAGAACAGTCGTTCAGGTATCCCGTGTCTTGCAAACTGAGAACGAATAAAGACTGAGTACAACCGCTGTACTTTCAGTTAGGAGTTTTTCGATCCCGAACTAATCACTATAGTGGTCAAATCTCAGTATTGTGATTGAATGTTTAGGGTCAGGAGCATTGGTTCTTTTGCCTGTTTCTGACTACATATTATGTGAAGGCTGCACTTTGCCACATTTTCCCTAATTTTACCTCCCATTGCTGGCTACTAAAACAGCTCTCTTCTTCTTCGGATGCCGCCACTAATACCGGTTCCTTTAGTATCCTCTCCGTCAATTCTTTCGACGATCTGCCACCAGTAGCACGGAGTTTTCGATGGCAAGTTGGTTGATCTTTCAAGGAGATTCTCAAGTATTCAGCGTTCCTTTTTTTACTGGGTTCACCATTCCTAATCATTCGCATAACTCTCTCGGTCATAGGACCCCGTTTGGTCAGCTCTTGAATTTTAGTCAAATTATCCAATCAGCATCCCGGATAACGTGGCAACAGGCAGGCTCTGTGTCCGTGGTCGAATTTCTAACGTTTGATTAGCATTCACTGCGAGCGTTTGGGAATACCACTCATGTTACTTCATTAGTGTCATCAGCATTTGGTCAACATTGGCCAGAGCATGTTCGTACTTGGGATCGGTGGACCGCTGTTTGCAGTAGCGACTAAACAACAGCGTCGGAATTGGCTAATCAGGGATGTGGTATGATAACTGGAGAGGTTACAGCATCACAGGCGTTGTCACAGTCGACTGTCTAAGGTATTTTATGTACTCAGTAGTGATTTACACGTTCTTAGGAACCAGTCCATCATAGAAGGAATATGTTGGCAAATAAATTCATGTTGGTGTTCCTGCACTCAATATGCTTCTCTCCCGATTTTCCTAACGAAAATTCTACTAACACACCTGTATTTAGGAATCAGTTATGTCACCTACCGAATAAGACACGTGGGCCCACAG